AAGAATATGAGGACAGTATAATTCCTTTATAACGGGTGCACAGATATCCTTTTAGGAATATCACGAATTATTATGCAAATCAGCGGAGCAACTGAAAATACTGCCTCATCGTGTTTATAATGGCAAAGATGAAGGAAAAACTGTCAAACTTTATTCGTCTTTCGAAACAAAAGTAAGACTTACATTCTAGTTTTACCAGACTTGTTAAGTTTTCAGTTACATAATATGTTAAACCTCGCCGCTGTTTGATGAACGGTCTATGTTTTTAGGGCATTATTGGCAACGATTCACGGCATTATGTGTTAGATTTGTTAAGGACTTTTCCGCCGGATGTCAATTATCTTGAAAATGCAGAAGTCACAGACATTTGTAAAGCAAACGGCTACCCGCGCCCCTTTCCACACAAGCTTGCTTCGCTGAGGAAGGAGCTTATTGATGCATTTGTCGAGTTAGTACTTTTTTTGAAGTATTTTCTCTGCCCGCCAATTCAGTTCTTCGATATTCGCAACGAAATTTCTTTTTCACGGCACAAGAGTAATGGTTTTAGGTGGCGTTACGTAACATTTATTCGTATAGCTGCATATCATGTGCAGAAGACGAGACTTGGCTTATTGGCTCTTGATGAGGATGATTCAGCAAAGCTGGTCGAGAATGGAAAAAGCGACGAAATAGAGAACAAAGCTAACGATAACGATGACATTGTAAGTAAAATAAAAGTAAGTGAGGTATCCTTTAAAAATGATCATCTGGCGGTCTTTGTTATCCTGGCCATTTTTTGTGGTCCCTGATTGTACCTTTCGAAACAATCTCTGTATGATTAACTGACATATGAGCCCCGGTGGCTAGGGAGCTCGGAACGTTTCCTACTTTTTCGTTAACATTTTGCTGGAAGAAAAGAGGAGCCTCTTAGATGCTGGCCCAGTTGACAGCTAACTGCCTGTTTTCCAGTTCCATCATCGTTTTCCGTCTCTTTGTCAGCGCAGCTGAGAGTGTTTTCGTTTTGCTTAGTTTTGTGTTTCTTGCATCCAACTAACACCATACAGGCGTTCAGCTGAATTTTCTTTTTGCAGCGAATGCCAAGGTAGTGTAAAAAAAAAAAACAAGCATTTTTCAAAGACTATAATTTTACTGTCACCAGTCTTTTCGTGTACCCCTCTGTTATCGAAATGCAGTTTCCGAAAAAAATTCTCTTTCTGCTAATGAGAAATCCTTTTACAGAATGAGATAATGGCTGATATAAAAGTTGCCGATATGGAATTGCCAGAAACTGAAACGGCAAAAAGAATTGTCGAAAAGACGATTGAAAGTGATGAAAAAAAGGACGAGGATAATTTTGATCGGGAAATCTCGGAACAAGCAAGTTTTTGGATGCTTTCTTGTCTAAAAACCATCAGATTTTCCACAGCTTTCGTTCATTAACGGGATTTGCCCACTTAACTGCCTTTTCATCATTTATTCCTTGTAATTTCTAATTTTGTGATAGAAAATGCTAAATCTAGCATCAGGTCATGCATTTCAAATTTATTAGCAGGAAAAATAGTCCTTTTACGATTCTTTGATTCATTTTGGCAGCCATTTGGTACTACAGTGCGAGATTCCAACTGCCTCCATCTTGTTTCTCATACATCTTTCGCAAAGAGACACGATTGTCGGCATTATCAGGGAGATTGCTACTGGTGAAAGTGATATGATGTGAGCCGCGCTTCTGATTACCTTTATTTTCCGCGGGAAATAAAATAACATGAGGGTAGGAGGCATTTATTTTCGTTTTTATGCCTTCTAGCGCTCTAGCGCTGCAACAGGCAGCAAAAACGCATATTGCAACGACCCTGTCAGTGTGTGTGTGTGTGTGTG